ACAGAGAGGGAAAGTAACTGGGCAACAAAGAGGGGCTTAGAAAATTACTTGGGCTGGGTGCCAGGGTCCCACATCTGTAATCCTAGCTACTTAGGAGGCTGAGATTTGAGAATTATTGTTCAAAGCCAGTCCAGTCAGGAAAGTCTGTGTGACTCTTCTCTCAAAAAAGCTGGAAGCAGAGCACTAGCCTTGGGCAAAGAAAAGATCCGAGACAGCGCCCAGGCCCTGAGTTCAAGCCCTAGGATACACATGAAAAAAAGAAAGAAAATTCCACAGTCATCCACAGGAAACTTAATGGCAGGTCGTGTTGGGGCCCCATCAGCACCTTTACCCATTCCATAATTCTGTAGTGCAAAAGTAGGTAGGTCTGGGAATGAGTTGTATGTCCAATGCTACTTAACTCTACCTGGTAGAGTGGCCCATTCCCATTATCCAACCAGCTCCTATAAAGCCACCTATGAACTCCCTTTGAAAAGATCCTGTTTTTTCCCCAGCCACAGTATTCACAGATTAAGTAAGATTTCACTATTTTGTTGTTTACAGAAGTTAAAGAACTCACATAAGGACCTGGGACTGGAAAGTGCTTTCTGCCACTTTTATTTAATAGGAATATCTAATATGTAGGTGATGTTTTCAAACACTATTCCATTATACCTCTCTAAGTTTATAGTCTTGGGCATATTTAGGTGGAGAAAGGTGCATTTTCTTCCTTTCCACAATAACTGCAGGAAGCCAACACTAAACTCTACTTCTGATTACAGGGACAGACCTATTTGGAGGTGAAAGTGTAAGGAACCAGAAGCACCCTTTCTCTACGTCCTTTCTATCATACCCTGCTTGCTACTGAAAGGAAGACTTAACAAACATGACTGTGATGGGGCCACGTTAGCTAATATCTGTTAAACATCATACACATTTCCACTTTCTGCTTCATTCTGCCAGTTGGCCCAGGGCAAGAAAGCCAGGGCCAACTCCTAAGCAGGACCAGGAAGTTGCTTTGGCTTGGCAGCCAGGTGGTGGCAAGGTTTAGGTGCAGGAGGCAGATGCCAAACCTTAGCCATAAGCTATATAACCTAGACTTCCCAAAGCTCTCTGAAACATGGCAACAAAAATGCTGCATAGGGACTCCCATCTTGCTGTTTGCTCCTTGTCTCTGCTTAGCTCCACAAAGAGGTACCAGAAAAACGGCAAAGCAGCATATGGCCACTGCTTGGGTTTTGGTTTTGAGACTAACAGTAAAACCTGTGATCTATAGTCCACACCAAGATACTTTTAAGAGTGAGAACAATGGCCCGGTGTTGGTGGCTCACGCCTGTAATCCTAGCTACTCAGGAGGCTGAGATCTGAGGATCGCGGTTCAAAGCCAGCCCAGGCAGGAAAGTTTGTGACACTCTTATCTCCAATTAACTACCAGAAAACCAGAAGTGGTGCTGTGGCTCAAGTGGCAGAGTGCTCACCTTGAGCTAAAGAGCTGAGGAACAGTGCCCAGGTCCAGAGTTCAAGCCCCACAACCAACAACAACAAAGAAGAAAGAAAGAAAGAAAGAAAGTGAGAACACTGTCTACTATGCTAGGAAAAATCACTAATAAACTAGGATGCATGATCACCTTGCCAAAATTACTAAAACATACCTTTGCTCCTAACCCCACTACTTTTGATTGCAGGTACTTTAATTTTTCATGTAGTAACTATATAGTAACTATATAGGAAAACCTAGTATAATCGCAAGATTATACTATATCAGCACTGGAAAACTCAGGTTCTAAAAGAAGTAAGGTGGAAGACAGGAGGCAGACCTATTAAAAAGTCCATCTGTCCTATTTGAAGTATTAATATCTCCTATTTGAAGTATTAATAAACCTCTTTGTTGTAGAAAGTATCTTTGTATTCACAGAGTACTTTCATGAGCATGCCCCCAGCTTAATAAGCCTGTTACACAGCCAATGGATTGAGCACTGACATATGCCACATAGCAAGAAATAGAGGCAGGACTCGAACCCGGAATTGGGGCTCACCAAGTATTTTCTCTTTCAACTACACATTGTCACCTGATGGCACTTACTATATGATAAGTCAACAACTTTGTTCTGAACAGAATACTTGAAGGAGAAGACAGAAGAAATGAGGCACAAAGAAGATAAAACCAACCTGAATATCCATTGTTTCAATCAAATCAAAACCAACAATTAAGCCCTATACACCTTAAAGTAGAAGTATAGATCTGTGGTATAGATCTGTGTTCATTTCTCTCTCTCTCTCTCTCCCCCCCCCTCTCTTTTGGATTTTCTGGAGATTGAACCTAGGGCTTCATGCATGCTAAACAAGCATTTTACCACATGAGCTATGCTCCTGGCCCTTTTGTTTTTGTCTTGTTTTTCAGAAAGTTTTTTGCTACCTTTACCCATGCTGAATTTGAACTGTGATCCCCCTCTGTCTCTGCCTCCCAAGTGTCTGAGATTACAGGAATGCATTACCATGCTAGCCTGGATTTGGTAAACAAAAACAAAAGCCAACAAACCAAAAACTTGCCTACTCCAAACAGCTTTTCAAGACTGGAAACTTTATCTAAGTTAAAACAGTGGTTCCTAAGAGGGAGCAAGAAATAGTCTCAAGAGGACATTTGGAAATGCATAGGTCATTCACATAGTGAGTGGTAAGCAGCACTCTTTTATCTGTGCCTCCTCTCTAAGTCAATGAATTTCAGTAGGACCAGTAACAGAGAGTAGATCAGTGATTTCTAATTCATGTTGAAGCTTATCAATGGAGTTCTACTGGACTACTGAGGAACTAGCCTATGTCTAATGGATGCCAAAACAATGCTCGCTGCTGTCTGAGGCAAAATGCCAGCAGATCATTAAGGATTTTTGTTGATCTGAAAGTCTCATTTCAGGGAAGTGGGACCTTGATATATTCATCCTAAACATGATGTCTCCACTCAAAATAGTACGCTACAAAGAGATCCACACAGCTCATATGCTGTGCCTACATGCAGTGGATTTGTAAGTTACACGGGTAATTTGGTCCTTTCCTCTCCTTTCTCTTTTCTTCCTGTGATGTATTACCTAAAGCAAAAAGAAACAAAGCTCTATAGGACTAGCACAACGTAAGCCTTTTCTGGTTTGCTAGGACTGATGTTTCCAAGAGAAATTCCTCAATCTGTCCGAAGACAGGAAGTGCTTATGAGGTCATACTGTACTGATAAGAATGCAAAATTTAGAGAACCAAATTATATTCTCTGTGAGTCTAAGAATACCTCAATTTTGTCCAATTTCCAAACATCTAACATGGCATCCTTTGCTGGGGTTAAGTGGGCTCTTGTAGGTCAAATTTGACTCAAGTATAAAGAATATCAAGGAAATAATCTTAGAAACCCACAGTAAACCAGTCTCTCTCCTTAGGAGAATATTACTATCTTGAAGATCCATTTTAAATTAATACATGGAGGTTTTATCTGTTTATTTTTGAGACACATGTTGACACTGAGCTTGCAATCTTCTTGCTTTTGCCTCCTTAGTGCTGGGATTACAGGTGTGCATCACCATAGGTGGCTATACAGACTTTGTATTCTCAACAAAGCACTACATTTTTTTTGGGGGGGGGAAGAAGGGAGACAGCAGTGATCCACAGAGGAATGAGACACTTAAGCCTTTAAAATAGCATTTACAGATGGGTGCAGATGGCTCATGTCTATAATCCTAACTACTCAGGAGGCTGAGTTCTGAGGATCACAGTTTGAAGCCAGCCCAGGCAAGAAAGTCAGTGAGAGTCTCTCTAATCTCCAATAAACTACTCAGAAAAAGCTGGAAGTGGCACTGTGGCTCACGTGGTAGAGTACTAGCCTTGAGCACAAAGAGGATCAGGGATAGTGCCCAGGCCCTGAGTTCAAGTCCTGGGACCAGCAAAAAAAAAAAAAGGCATTTGCTAAATAAAGTCCATCTGTGACCATTTATGAGATGCTGACAATATGATCAGCTGAGCATCAGGAAGTCTGTGACATCAAGGAAGGAGGAATAAGAATTTGGGGGAGAAATGAGAACAGAAAAGAGAAAGTCAGAAAAAGACACACACAGAAAGAGACACAGACAGAGACCTAGGGGAGAATGGCTTAGCTATTTTCTGATTTTGGGGAAAGAAAATACCCAAAGAAATATAAAATTTGACTTAGGTAGAGATAGGAAGGTTGTAAAATTATAGAAGTGTTTTAATACAACTAGACTTCTTTTTTTTTTTTTTGTCAGTGGTGGGGCTTGAACTCTGGGCTTGAGCGCTGTCCCTAGGCTCTCCAGCTCAAGGCGAGAGCTGTACCGCTGAGCCATAGCACCACTTCTGGTTTTCTAGTTGTTTATTGGAGATAAGAGTCTCACGGACTTTCCTGCCCCGGCTGGCTTTGAACCATGATCCTCAGATCTCAGCCTCCTGTGTAGCTAGATTACAGGCATGAGCCACCAGCGCCTGGCTTAGACTTTCTTTTGATAAGGTCTGTAAGTGGAAAAGTGGGATAATACACTCCTAATCACTGGTAGTAAATCTCTCAGTTTTTCTTTTTGTTTTCCAGCTCACTGATATGGGCCTTTTCTTCATTAGAACACACTAGTCTTTGCTTACAATGCTTATACAAGGAAATGGAGCTCCCCTTCTGCTCCACTGAAGGAAAACTACAGTATACAAAAAACCAAAGTCATGAGGTGATTTAAAAGGCCTAACTAAAAGAGAAACAGGTTGGGTTGGCCTTTCCTCATGATATTCCTACCTTGGGTATTGGTCATAAGAAACAAATGCTACCTCAGTCAGCACGAGTTGTAGTTGCAGCTAGAACATCAGACAAGTGGCTCCTAGAAGGTGGAGAATCTCACCAGTGGCCATGCCCTGGTGCCACATGAGATACCAGGTACCTCGCAAATATACTAGTTTTTACCAGTACACCACTCCAGAGGAAAGCTATTTCAGAAACTTCAAAATATATGTGTCACATACTGAGAAAAATAACACCACGAAAGAAATAATGTGCCAGTCAGAAAATAATGACTAACTTTATAAACATGTATGGGGTCTAAATTATCCCTTATAATATATGTGTATGTGTTCACTCCACAGAGCCAGACTCTGATTCAGTTCAGAGTAACCTGCTAACATGATCTTCAGAGCTTCTGGTCCCTTTGAGTGGCCTCTTCCAGGTTGTTCTAGTAGAGCTCCCAGGACCAAAGAGATGGCAGCCCTGGGTTTCCACAAGCCCATGGCCTATATCATGTCCAGCTGCAAACAAGAAAGGAACCAGGCCAAATTCAGAATAGTGCTGCTTGTGTGAGAGGGCTTAATGAAAATTACATTGGTGTCCACTATTTAGATGTTAAATACTTGCTCACTTCAGTGCTAAGGACTTCTTTGCAAAATGCTGACTGCACAGTATGTAGTTTCTACTGGATAGTCACCATGGGGGGCTAAAAGGTATCAAGTTGCCAAACACGCAAGATGGGCTCAAAAGTCGCCATTTACACAGCTTGCCAGGCACCCACCAGGCAGGCTGAGGTCCAGACACCTTCTAGTGCCTATCAGTCTGCTTTGTTTATATTAAGTTAATTGAGAACAGTTAAGAAGTAGGCTTTTTAAAGGCTGTTTGTATTTGTCAACCCACACAAATTGTATGTTGTATTGCTTATTCCTAGCTAAGAACAATTTCGGTAAATTATAACATTTTGTTACTTAAAAAATAGCCTCCCCAGCTCTTTTTAGCTTTTCAAAGGAGAGGATTATCGGAATGAACAATATAATTGAAACCATAGACCACAGGAATTTCCATGATGAAATTGCCTATCTGATTAAAGTGTAAAGGTAATAAATAATAGCGTAGGTTGTTTCTAGTGTGCTAGAAATAATTACATAATAAAAAGCCTATGATAAGCAGCTTTTGGGCTATATTCACAGATCAGGTAATTGTGATCTTTAAGTATCAGGTCCATATTAAAAGTACTTACTAAATCATCCACATCACCACCTTCTTCAAATGCAGCTGCCACATCTTCATTTGGCTTTTCTTTGGGGGCCAGAAACTGTGAACAGAAAGTTGGAGATGGTCCTCAATTGATTCTTTGATGGAGGAAACAGTCCACTAACATTGTCACAGACAAACCTAGGAAGACTCATTGAGTGAAGTCTCACTACAAATGGCCCCAAAGAAACATCATTTTGGCACATTTTCCTTTGCTCTGTACAAGAAGGCCAATTTTGAGGTTCAACATCCACACTAACTAGTCACCAGAGAATGTTCTTATGAAGAGAGAGGAAATGTCAGCTTGTCTAGATGGTGTCTTCAAAGGGCACAACATCAGAGCAAAGCACACCTGGTATTTCATCATTCAGGAAATAATCATGATCCTCAAACCAGTGTATCTTTGTCGCTTTTGAAAGGAGCATAAGAATAAAGTAGGATTAAAATCATCTACTCCTGAACCCCACTGAGCACAAAAAGGGGTAAAAACTTCTTGTGAGCAATGCAAAACACAAAAATGCATCTGCTTGGGAGTTGTCTATCCATTTCACAGAAAGCCTTCCATTTATGTTAGAAATTGCTTGAAAACAGGCAGATGAGAACTTTACTCCAGTGCTCTAAACCTAAAGCTTCTAAAAAACAGAGAAAAGAAAAATGCCCTGAAGCCAAATCTGTGAGGGCCTACAAATGACATGTGGGCTTTGAAAAAGCAGTGGATGCCGCTCTCAGTCATCTGAACACTCTTTCTACTCTACTCTTCTACCCCGTTCTTTCTACTCTACCCTAACATTATGGTGGGAGATTTTCTTCCCTGTCCCTAAAGATACAATGGTGGGAATCTTTTCAAACTTCAAGGCATGTGGCAACTATATCTAAGAGCTAGGTTCTACCCATGCCTATCTATCCTAAGAGGAAAAAGGGATCTTCTAGTAGTATCTGTACTTCAGGTGGTAGACAAGTCTGTAGGAGTGACTGCCCTAACATGGGTGGAAAAAGATAGGGCAGGCCTCTCTCAGGTAGTCATGTGCAGTGGAATGCTATGTGGCAAGTGAGCCTTCTAGTTCACCTCTGCTCTCCTGCCTCAACTCAAAACAGGAAAGCATGAAAATCTGTCAAGAACTGCTTTCCCTATACATAGTACATCGCTAACAAATCATAACCCATTAAATATTAGGCTGCATGCAACAAGTGGCAGGAAGCAAGCTGTTCCTATCCTGCCATTCCTCATGCACACAAAAAACACATACAAGTCACAGCAAAGGCTGTTTCTGCAAACTGGGCACTGCTTCCGTCAGTACTGTGGCCTTATCTTTTAAGGATACTTATGGATCTTTCCATCATGTTTTGCTGACACTAAAATGGACCATGCGCAGTGTTGGGAATCAATGCTACAATAGACAGAAAATCCTAGCAGCAGGGGGGCAGTCTATAACAAGACCCTAAAGTAGCTTCGGTATCATTAATTCCATGTGTTGATTCTGGGTGATAATCAATAAAGCTATGTGAGAATCAAATACAAATACATGAGCAAAAAATTCATGCATCTATTTGCACATGGTTTGTGGCTAAGAGTTGAATAAACAGTGTTTACTCTAGATATCTATTTGTTATGATTAAGCATTGCAGTATTTTCTGTATATCAGAAATAGACAGCTACAGGGTAAGACTTAACCAGTCATGTTGAAAATGAAGGCAAAAGTGTGTCTTGCCATCAGCTTCTGTGAGGCAACAAATGGCCAGCATCTCTCAAGCAAATGATAAACTCCACATGTTCAAGGATGCGACAGTCTACTACATTTGTTACCTCAGTAAGCAGAAACATGATAATAGCTTATTGATAAAGCTAGAAAACTCTAGTGTTTTTTGGCACTCATCCTCTAAAAGCTCCAATTCTCATACCCCTCCACCTGCAATGCGTTTTCACAGTGCAATTCATATAAGATAGGACCATCTGCGCAGTAGGACCATAGTATATACAATTAAACACAGACAGCACATCTTTGAGACGAGGCCAAATTCCTAGGAAGAGAGGAACAGTAGCAAAAGAAACCTTCTTTTCCATCAAGGATTAAGCATTTGCAGCTGACTTCCTGACAGATCTGCTTCAAGTTTCTGCATAAGCATATTATGGCTAAAAGCTAGGCTGCCATCCATTATCCTTCCCAAAGCCCCAGGCAAAGCTGATTTCTTCACATGTTGCTCCTTCTCATCCGAGTTTCAACTGCAAGTCATTTCCACACTGTGCACTGACAGGGAAGCTAGAGACCAAGCAGAAAATTCAAGAATTGGCCTGCTTTCTCAATAAAAGAAAAATTCTCTGAGTGCAGCAAAAAGCAGTAGGCATCAATTTTCATCATGTCTTTTTTTTTTTTTTTGGTTGATTGTAGTGCCTGAGCCCTGTCCTTCAGCTCTTCAGCTCAAGGCTAGCACTCTACCACTTGAGCCACAGCACCACTTCTGGCTTTTTCTGCTTATGTGGTGCTAAGGAATTGAACCCAGGGCCTCATGCATGCAAGGCAAGCGCTCTACCACTGAGCCACCTTCCCAGCCCATCAACTCTCTTCTTTTGTCCTGTTCTTCCCTCTGTAATATGCTGAAAAAGTAGAGAGTTAATAAACAGACACTTGTGTAATACATGTCCCCTTCTTCAAATCACCTTCATTTACTTGAGGTTACCACAAAGAGCCTCTTTACCTGGTGATTTCTGTGAAATGAACAAACTACTACTTTTTAAATACAAGGAAATACAATCCTGGCCATATGCTGAGAAATGGTATCAGTAACCTCTATATTGGAACTGTCACCCATACCGCCATACCTCTCCATTAAAGCTAAAAGCTAACACATGACTCTTTGCTTAGACCCTTACATGCTCAACTTACAAGCACCTGGTTTCCAAAGAGCTGATTTCAGCAATGTCAGGTGATTCCAAATATACAAATAGCATCAGGCTGGGCAGCAGTGGCTCACAACTGCAATCCTAGCTATATATACAGGAGGCTAAGATCTGAAATTGCAGTTCAAAGCCAGCCTGGGCAGGAAAATCTGTGCGCCACAAGTAGAGCCAAAGCACATGAACACATGAACACACACACACACATACATTTAACTACACTCTAGGCAAGTATGGAAAAACCACAAAGAAATCCCTGTACAACTAAATATGCTAAGGAAAGCATTAGGTTGGTGGCATTGTTCAGTAGTAGAGCACCTGAATAAAGACGAGGTTGAACCCTTAACACTGCAAAAAGGAAGTGGTGCTGTGGCTCAAGTGGTAGAGTGCTAGCCTTGAGCTGAAGACCTGAGGGACAGTGCCCATGACTAGAGTTCAAGCCCAGTGACCAACAAAAAACCAAAACCAAAACCAAAACACTGCAAACAAATGAAATTCAATACAAATAAAAGAGTGCCTAAAAAGACATAAATTAGGCTTCATTAATGATATCTATACATTCATTAATGCTATCTATTTCATTCAATAAAGGCAAGAGAGAAATCACATAGCACAGCAAATCACATAGCATGCTGCAAACAGTACATTCATAACCTTAGGCCTTGGTTTCTCAGGAACCCTAGGAAGCCATCTGACAATTTTATAATTTTTCTCAAAAATGAAATGGAAATACTATATCTCATGGGGTTTCATGACTATGAGATGAATAAAGCATGCCAAAATGATTTGATAGTATAATTCTATGTTCTAATTATTAAGAGTATACCAATACATTCATCAAGTGATTCATACAAGAATATCTACTGTGTATTTATTCATAACCGCCAAAGTTTAAAAATAATCAAATTCCCATCATCAGGAGAATGTATGAATGAATTGTGGAATTGCCTTAAAGGAATACTATATAGCTATACATAAGAATGAATGGCTGAATGTGGTAGACCACTAAGTTTTAAGCATGGGAGAATTGTGATTTAAGGCAAGCCTGGGCAAAAAATTAGTAAGACCCTATCTTAATCAACAGTCCAGGTGTGGCAGTTCATGCCTGTCATTCTAGCTATGCCAGATGCACAGGTAGAAAGATCATAGTTGGAAACTGGTCCCAGGCTGCCAAAAAATAAAATTACTAAAGCAAAAAGGGGCTATGGGTCATGAATCAAGTAGTACAGTTGCCTAACAATTTTGACCCTGAGTTCAAAACCAAGTACCAATGGGGAGGGGGAGAACAATAATGTGGATGAACCACAGAAAGCATTATTAAAAGGTCAAGAATAAGCAAAACTACTCTCATGTGACAGAAATCACTTGGCATACAAGAAGGTTCTGACTGGAAGGTATCAGGGAGCTTTTAAGTAGTGGCACTCAGTTATATGACAGCATAAGAATTCATCAAATTGTATCATGTGATGAGTGTATTTACTACATATAGAATCCACTTATTTTTTTAACAGGCTCAAGTTTATATTCCTAGCTACTAGGAGGATAAGATCTGAGGATTGAGGTTCAAAGCCAGCCTAAACAGATAAATCTGAAAGACTCTAATTAATCCACAAAAAGTGAGAAGTGAAGCTGTGGCTCAAGGAGTAGACACTAGTCTTAGGTAAAAAAGTTGAGAGAGAAAAAAAAAAAGCTATGAAGTTTTTCAGCATCATGCTCTGTAAATGCAAATTAAGTCAATTGATGGATAATCTTACTCAAATAAGGTGATCCATGTTCGTTTGCTTTCTTTTGGTGACTTGTTTCTATTTCTCAGAGATGAATGTTAAGGTCTTTTAATGATTGTGTTGTTTCTTTTTCTCCTCAATTGGGCCTGATTTTGCTTTACATAAAGTTCTTATATTGAAAAAAAATAATTAAAAACTATGAATCTTAAAAAACAAAAGTTAAGAGTCAGCATTCAGGTCCTGAGTTCAAACCCTGGTACAAGCACAGAAAAATGTTTTTGTTTTTGTTTTTAAATTAAATGTATCAAACTCTAAATCAGTATTAGGTGCATTAGGATGTCAGTGGTTTTATTATAGTGACATACGGAAAAACTACACCAGATATTTAAAACAGAAAAGAGCTAAGTAAAATATTATATGGTCCAAAGAGTTCAACAGATAGAG